GAATAATAAAATACATAAATTTTACATTAAATTTTTATTTATATCTTAAAAAGGTTCAAAATGCAAAGAGAAGAAAAGCAACTGGATTCTGCTTTGGAGGCTATTATTATGAGAGTAAACGATTTGAAAACAGCAATTGCTGCAATGATATTTAAATTAGAACATGAATATGAAACATTAAATTGGCCTAATTTTCTTGATAATTTTGCACTTATTTCAGGACATGTAAGTAACACAAAATATTTTAAAATTTATAAGTTATATTAGGTGTAGGAAAATGTTCGCAATGTTTTTAACAAAATTCGATACCTTATTTAAAAAAAAATTGAGATAAACTTAATTATTGAAATATTCTTTATTGTTCTCAATGAGTTTTCTTCATCTTTTGGGCAGCATGCAGATTACTAAAAACTTTGTGGCTTTGATGCAATGAAGTCATTGATAGATTTTCAGATATCATTAACTATATTAAAGTGTGTATTAGTAAAGTGATATTGTAATGATCTTAACAAATATTAGTTAGATTGAGCCAAATATAGAAAATAAGCCACGTGTGAAATAAGTTAATGACTTTAGTTACTTGAATAACATATGGCCAAGCATTGTCATGCAACAAGCATAACTTGACTTTTTGATCAATGAATGCTATCCTTTTTTTCAATTCTTCATTCAAATTTATCAACAAAATGTTAAGCAACACTTTATTTTAAACAAGTAAATGTCAATGCTGTGAACAATCTAAAGAGCAGGAAGATATTTCAATTTGAAATCATTTTATAGATTGCAAATTAAAAAACAGCAAATTGTTTCCTACACCTAGTAAAAAGCATAGAAAATTTTTTATTAGTAATGTCACTTTTGTAGAATAAGTATACTTATAGCATAAGTATATTAATGTTCATAGATGTAGAATGATTGCATTTAAAAATAAATTTTTTATAGCTAACTAGTCTTTCAAAAATCCTTGGACATGATAAAGCACCAAATTTGAGAAATTTAACAGTTTTACCATTGCGGTTAAGTCCAGAGAAGGATGAAGAATTACTTCGCCTAACTGAAGGTAGAATTCCCACATTTGCTCATGATTTAGTACCAGACTATCTACGAACTAAAGTGGAACCTCAAGCTGAACAAAAAATGATGCAGCTTGAAGCAAAAGCTGCAAATTTAAATTATGAAACATCGCATGTAAGGAAAATCTTATTTATATATCATCTTTTTACAAATTAATTATGAAATTTTTGTA